TCCAATGTGTGACTCTTTCAGGACATGACCTGCAGCCTCGTAGGCAACCCATCAAAGCGCTTTGATGAGGATCACGGCTTGTCAATTAACGGCAACAAAGCTGAGATATGCTGAGATCACTGAGATCAAAAAGTTCTCTGATAGAAACTCACAGAGTCCAGCAGACGGTACAATGCTAGCACCAGCAGTTTCGAATTCCTCATGGAACCATTCAAGCTTTGCTGACACCTTGCTTGTTCTCGCTTGGTTGAGGACTCGTTGAGAAACCTGAATGTGGTAGCAACAACTGCGAGGCGATGCTTTACAAGTATTGGTATGGTTGATCGACAGCAATTCCGGCAAAAAGGGGGCAACTTCAGAGCACGCTGTGACTGGTAAGGCATGCAATGAATAGGATAATGTTGGAGTTTCCAATGATAATCGGGTGGCACTTTGGGGCCCAAACTTACCAAGGTAAAGCGCAAGGCCTTTGCAGTTTCGCAGTTTCCATCCAGATCCATTGCTGCTGTCATCGCTTGATAGGACCATTGCTAAGAGATGTGTAAAGCTGGAGATGATGCTGAAATTCTTCAAGGAGCAAATTCCGCTGCAATGTGTCCACCAGTGACCATTTTGTCAAGGTTTGTCAAGAGTCAAGACAGTGCGCCGCACCTTCAGGCATTCTCTTCCCACGTTTCCCATTCGCTTGTTGCATGTGGTTCCATGTCGCATCATTTTGTTCCCTGCTATGGCAGGACTTCACATCAGTCGGTGAGATCGCTCAATCAAGCACAACACAGGCCACACGGCTCGATGTTGAACAGAGTTGTTTTGAAACAAAGGGGCACAAGATCCTATTCGAATCCTATTGGAATCCTATTGGCATGTATTGGATCATATTGGATCAATATTTGCCCATTCTGTAAGTTTTTGACATTTTGGGCCTTGAGACCTTGAGCTTCCACTGTCTGTGAGGATGTTGTGGAGGAAGTGGTTCAGCCAACAACTGAAAGGCGCCCAAGATTTTTGCTTCACAAGCCAATGCCACTCATGGATTTAGATATTTAGAGCTCGTTGGTCCCTGGCTTTGCTGGCTTTTTGCACATGGGAGGTACGGAGCTTGCTATGCCGAATTCTGTCACAGTTTCGATCCAGAGTATTACGTTGTACACTGCTGGAAGGCCAGAAATGGATCAGAAAGAATTGCTTCAAGCTACACATTTCAATATTGCCTTGATGTGAACAGCTTTTTACTCATTTTGACATATTTTGACATATTTTCCAGTAGCTTCTTTTAACAGAAAGAGAGGTCTCAAGAGGTCTTGCTGCGTGTTGCCGTGTTGCCAGGCCTTGTTCAGTGATCTCCTTATGGCAATCGCTACCCATGCCTCTGGATTCACACAGCCAAAGCTGGACGCCAGCCATGAACAGTGCGAATCTGAGATGGCTATGGATCAATACCTATTTTCATACCATTTTTATCCATTTTTAGTGGGATGAACATCCATTTTAACCCAGCTATTTTGATGTGAACTACAGGGGTTTTCAAGGTTTTGACACACTGCCAGATAGTGAAAGCCAGACTTCGATTACTTGACAAATTTGACAAGGACAGGCAAACAATACCACCAAAAAGCAGGGCTTTAAACTTCCATAAGCATCCAACTGGAAAACAAAGCCACATACCATTTAAACCATTGAATGCAGATTCCGATTCCCTTGAACTCATCATATTTGCGAATTGTTGGCATTGTACGAGGGTATACTTTAAAACCTTGTCATGTGTAAACTGTGATGAGCTGATAAATCAACCCTGTATGGCAACCAAGAGATTCTGACTGTCACACATGCATGTTTGAGGTATGTTCGGCGTCCTGAGTCTCTACAAAGGCTCTGTATTTGACAGCATTATACGGCGTGAATCAGTCGCAAGCTGACAATTAGACGGTGCCATATGCGTTGCGGATATTTTTTAAGTTTGTCCAGGCGCTACTTTGTGGACGTCTTTTGCATTGCCCGATGCCTTGAAGGATGTTCAAAGATGTTCAAAGTACCTTTCCAAATCTCCAAATTTAAATTAAATATGTACACACCGGTTTTTGACATTGTTTGACAGTGAGTTCTGATATGTTCTGATTGATTCTGCAAATCTGCACCAGGCCTCAAGATTAACAAGATTGACACCCATTTGGGCACTCTGCGACTGAGGACCAAGCACGGAAATTTCCCCAACGGAATCCACGCTGTGAGACGGACAAGTTCGACTTCGTGCTGGAAGAGTTGAGGCCATCGCCTCGAAGCTTTTTCCCTCAGCTTGGAATTGGAATGATTTGGGATGAGCACCTCAAGTCACGGAGTCACGTCCATGCACGTTGCATCACGTTGCATCACGTTGCCAGGTAAGGCATGGTAAGACATGGTAAGACTCTTGTATAGCACTACTTAGCACTGAAGTCCTTTCAGTCTCCACAAATCCAAATTAACCAAACCTGTTGCCGGTGGGTCTTCTCTGTGCTCGCCAGTCGACGATCTACGAAACTGCTGGTGGCCATGGATCGGGACAGCGAAACTGAACGACCTGGCGATGTTTGGAGTGAACTGGAAACATGCTGGGAACGCTCCATTTTCCATTTTCCATTTTCATCCATTTTAGATCTATTTTCATTTTTCATATTTCCTGAACTACACATGAGATCTTTGCCCGGTTTTTTGGGTGGACGAAACTCATTCTGGTGCGGGCTCTGGGTCTATAGGACCCGGGATCTAGGCGAACGAAAAACATCTCAGTTCCCGTTTGCGATGTCAGGACCACACTCCGATGGCAAGAACATGGTGCCTTGCTGAGCCTTGGTTGCGCTTATTTTGAATATTTTTGAATTATATAACTAGGTTCTCGAGCAGTTTCAATTTTAGAGCATTCGGGGAATTTCGGGGGTGTTTTTGAAAGGCTCTTTGATTTTACATAGATACATACGGATGGCATTTAAAATGCTGAAAAAGAAAACCACAGAAAACTCATGTGAAGAGAAAGGGAATTTGAATTTTCATGGACCTTGTAACTTACATCTCATTCTATTTCTCGGCCAGTCTCAATGTTATTGAGGAAGTGTGCTTTGCCAAGAGCTGCCAAGTGCCAGTCCTTGTAAGCGTGGCTCCAAGTCTCACGATCCTAGTCCAAGTGGAGAAAAGGGCAACCCGCTAAGATCGCAACACTTTTTCTGGCCATGGTGGCGTGGCGTGGTTCCTTGCCGAATTTTGCAGATCTTTGAGCAACTGTCCAAACCAGGCTTTGGTCCTATTCGGCCAATGCCTCGGAGAAGGAAAGGCGGGCTCGCCACTGTGGGGACCCCCGTGTCGCAATGTGCTTTGATTATCTTCTGTTTTGGCAGGCATGACCTTTGCCAAAACAGACATCTCCTTGGACGTCGATGCAGAGCTATTGCGGGAGGAGCCTCCATGCAAGATTTGAGAACGGATAAGTTGCTGGAAGAAAGCATCAAAGATCATAAAGTGGAAAATTGACGCAGTCAAAGCTGCTACTGGTTTGTCCTTCTCTACTGAAGACTTTCTGCTTTCAGGAACTGGTACAACGTGGACCGGGAATAGGGGAGAATCTCGTCCAAGTTTGCATGTGGTGCACAACGCAACGCATTGAAAGATCATGCAAGGTTCTCACAGAGCCATCTGGCAAAGGCACCATAGTGCAGTATGCCAAGAAGATGACAGATGTTGAGAAATGTCAGAGATGGGATCACATGGGTTCCCAGACTGATGCATATTGCAGTTGTACTTCAATCACACTTCTGATTGCATCTGTTTGCTTTGAATTGTTTTGGAGCTCCTTAGGGAGCAAGTCTAGAGAATTTGGATACTGCAAAGCTTGTTTGTGCTCAATTGGTGCACTCAGGAAGTTTGAAGAAGCAGTAGTGAAGCCGCTGCAGAAATTGGCACTTGAGACGTTCCCTGCTCAGCGACATGTATTCGTTTCATTCTCATGCTGGAGCATGCTCAGGGGTGCGATAACTATCAGAAAAATGGATGGAATTCAAGCTTTGATTCCAGTCTATAGTCTAGAATAATCTGAAAGATCTGAAAGTGGGCCAAGATCCCTTTTGCAAAGCCACACCTAGGTACAAAGCCATCTATGACACAATGCCCGTTGAGCAGCAGCAGGAGAATAAAGTATATGAAGTGCTGTGGTACATTTTTTTTTTGCATAATTTGGGTATGGATCAATACCTATTAATACCATTTTTAGGGGGATGAACATCCATTTACCAGCTATTTTGATGTTCACCAGGGGTACAAGGTTTTGACACACTGCCATTTCACATTCGGCACTCTTGAGGACTGCGACTGGATTAAGGAGCAGGATAACGCCCGGGAGGACATGGAAGTGCGTGACATATGAACTCGGGGTGCGGAGATGCAAAAGTGTTTTGCCGTGAAATGTGGACAAGATTACAACATAAATCCAACACGATTGAATGTCTCTGAGGTTTGATAGATGCCATTAATTACACAGATTATACAGTGTATTTGCAGCAGGACATGAAGTTGTATGGCGAGAACGGCAATTCCGCAACTTGGAACCAGAAGGTTTGAGGAGGTACGAACCAAATCCATAACAAATCCAAATGATATGTAGCGGAGTGTAGAAGCAAGAGGAAGCAAGAGGAAGAGGATCAGACTTTCATCATGAGTTTTACACATCACACACGCGCAACTCCAGAAGATTTGGTCGGGTGTTCTTTTTTCGTTTCAGTGGACACATTTTGTTTGGGTTCAGTTTTAAACTCCTGCCCAGCAATGGCTAGTAAGGAGAAGATGAGAATAGCGGTTGAAGCTGGAATCACGCACCAAGTAGAGGCGGAAAGTGATTCAGTTATATGTGTTGATTTGCTCAAACTGACCGCAACATATTTTTGTGAGATGACACTAAGAGCGAGCTACTGGAAGTGCTACAGAAGCATTTGTACAAAAGTAGATTTTGAGTCGAGTCGGTTCTCTAAAGCAGATCTGAAACTATATGGATTATATGATATCTAGATGTATCTAGAAGTTTCTAAAACATTCTAAGTCAGGAATTGATGCCTGCTGTATTTCACAGGAACTCTTATAGTCATGGCAGGATAGCTTCATGGAGCCACAGCGACGACGGTTGCATTCCTAGCAGCAGCAAATGAACCCCTCGTTTGGGGCAGATTTGGCAGTGCTGTTGAGGTTGGCTCAGTTGGAATTGCAATTCGTGCTGAACACGGAGGCAGTCACTTGTATAACGAGACTTGTGTATATTTCAAAGTGATACGTCGATACGTGCATTGCCTTTGCCTTTGCTTAACGTTTCGCAATCTTGAAGCAGTTTCATTCATTTTCATTCCGTCAGCAGCCTCTCTGCGCAAGATGTTCCTTTGACGTGTTACGTCCTTGGAGATCCCGTGTAGCGCTAGGCAAACTACACCCTCCTGGAGCATATCGATGCGCTGCAACGAACTCTGAAAGCAGCCAAAGAGGCCATGCGGTGATTGGAACTCAGAGAGAGTACTTGGTGAATCATGGTAAGTGCATGAGATTTCATCCCAAGTGAACTAGTATGTACCTTTGACACTTATGCTGCTTTGCCACAGGAGAAGCTTGAAGATCCCCCTTTGATCAGTCAGGGCCCCAAGAGACTCACCTTTGAAAGCTGAGACTGTCAGGTCTTATTTGAAGCTCGCCAGCTTCATGATTTTCGAGCTTGAGACATATAGTCATACACAGTAGTATGATGACAATGTACATTTTTGCAATCTTTTCCAGAAGTAAGAAACAGCTGTGCACAGTTCTGAACATGTTTGGCTATAGTGCACCAATTGTTGCAATGTTTTTGTGTTAACTACACTTGACACATCGTGTGGCCCATTCGATAGCCCTCCAATCCTCAATGTGAGGTCGTGGACAAAAGCGGCCAGCGACCTCAGCATAGCACCGTTGGACGATGAGAATGGAACAGTTATGATCCCGGCAACAACAAAGGTGTCACACAATGTACCCTACTTTCACGGCATCTTGTGAGACAAAGATAAACGAGAACACAAGTCTTGGTCCCAACAATATATATAAGTATATATATATATAAGTATATATATATAAGTATATATATATATATAATATAAGTGTATATATATATATAAGTATATATATATAAGTATATATATAAGTATATATATATAAGTGTATAAATATATATATATATAAGTAAATATAATATATATATATATTATGTAATATAAACATTGAGAACCTGAATATATGCTGAATACGATCAAATCCGTTTCAATCCTGTCCTTTTCATTCCTATTCTACCGTCTTCTGTGCATGTCTCCGCATTTGATCCTGGCCTCGGAGTGAGGCTTGCAGAGCAGGAAGCTGAAGCCCGGAGATTGGATGCTCAGAAGGACAAGACTAAGATGTGTGAAAGTGACCCCGCAGCTGCTAGGTAAAGCGCATGTTCCATGCATGTCCATAAATCTACAAGAAATATCAACCTGTCCTTGAAGTATATAAAATGGTGAGTTTTGATGAGTTTTGATGCTATGAGATGCAGTGTTTCTCTTTCTTCGCTCAAACCACTCAAAAGGCTTTCCAAACTTGTGGCTTGTCTAGCTTCAGCTTCAGAATATCACAATATTTTCTACCGCTTCCAACGTTGTGTCTTTGGGTCAAGCACCGTACAGGAGCTACTGAAATCCACTTCGCTTGGGCAAAAAGTGGCTCAACGATGGGAGGTGCGAATGCAAACTGGAGACTCTTGCAGTCTCCGTAGTTTTTCTGCGGTCAACAGCTGCACAGATTAAGTTACGTCGGAAAAAAGGACAAGACGGAGCAGATGAAGCAAGCTCTCAAACAACTGCTTGAATCATAGAGGCTGAACATGCTACCGCCGATGCATGTTGCCTGATGTTGCAGTTGGAGCAAAAGACAAAGAAAAGAACTCATCCCGAGGTGCTGCTTGCTACTCCATACATTAAGGGGCTCCGCCCCCTGCCGCCGACCCCTGGGTTGAGCCCAATCTTGCTTGGTTGCAGAATCAGAAACCTCCAAGATAGAAGAGTAACTTGCTACTAAACTATACTGGTAATTTACTTTTCATTTTTGGGAAGTTTCTTGATATACCTAATGTAAGGATAAAAACCCTAGGGTCAATTTCAACAACTCAAACGACACTATACCACTAAAATCAATGGTTTTCATTTGTCACTTCCACGAGTGGCCTTACCGCAATTGACACTATACCACGATTGGCAGCAACAGTGGCCCGCGGCCCGTACCCCAGAGTGCCAAACGTTACTTTCTGAACCGACTAGAAACTAGCTCCAAACCTTGACTTTACCTGCGTTTCTGCACTGCCAACTGCCACCCTGCTCGTGTCCTCCTGCACCTGGCTTTCGTTCTGCACAGCTTCGGTCCAAGCTGGAGTCCAAGGACCCTGTCGCAGGGCTAAAACACCATGGCAGTGAAGGACGGATTGGGCCCGCGGCCCGTAGCCCAGACTGCCAAACGTTACTTTCTGAACCGACTAGAAACTAGCTCCAAACCTTGTCTTTACCTGCGTTTTCTGCACTGCCAACTGCCACCCTGCTCGTGTCCTCCTGGAGCTGGCTTTCGTTCTGCCCAGCTCCGGTCCAGGCCCGGGGTCCAAGGACCCTGTCGCAGGGCTAAAACACCATGGCAGTGAAGGACGGATTGGGCCCGCGGCCCGTATCCCAGACTGCCAAACGTCACTTTCTGAACCGACTAGAAACTAGCTCCAAACCTTGACTTTTCCTGCGTTTCTGCACTGCCAACTGCCACCCTGTCGTGTCCTCCTGGAGCCGGCTTTCGTTCTGCACCGCTTCAGTCCAAGCTGGAGTCCAAGGACCGTGTCGCAGGGCTAAAACACCATGGCAGTGAAGGACGGATTGGGCCCGCGGCCCGTATCCCAGACTGCCAAACGTCACTTTCTGAACCGACTAGAAACTAGCTCCAAACCTTGACTTTACCTGCGTTTCTGCACTGCCAACTGCCACCCTGCTCTGGTCCTCCTGGAGCTGGCTTTCGTTCTGCACAGCTTCGGTCTAAGCTGGAGTCCAAGGACCCTGTCGCAGGGCTAAAACACCATGGCAGTGAAGGACGGATTGGGCCCGCGGCCCGTACCCCGGACTGCCAAACGTTACTTTCTGAATCGACTAGAAACTAGCTCCAAACCTTGATTTTACCTGCGTTTCTGCACTGCCAACTGCCACCCTGCTCTGTCCTCCTGGAGCTGGCTTTCGTTCTGCACAGCTTCGGTCTAAGCTGGAGTCCAAGGACCCTGTCGCAGGGCTAAAACACCATGGCAGTGAAGGACGGATTGGGCCCGCGGCCCGTAGCCCAGACTGCCAAACGTTACTTTCTGAATCGACTAGAAACTAGCTCCAAACCTTGACTTTACCTGCGTTTCTGCTGCCACCCTGGCTTTCATTCTGCACAGCTTCGGTCTAAGCTGGAGTCCAAGGACCCTGTCGCAGGGCTAAAACACCATGGCAGTGAAGGACGGATTGGGCCCGCGGCCCGTAGCCCAGACTGCCAAACGTTACTTTCTGAACTGACTAGAAACTAGCTCCAAACCTTGACTTTACCTGCGTTTCTGCACTGCCAACGGACCCCCTCGCAGGGCTCAACCACCATGGCCTGCGTCGTCTGTCCAAAGTTCTCTCTTCGCCCCTTCTTGCATCTTGTTGCTAGTAAGGCCTCCTCTGACGCGCTCCCCTCTGCTGGCGGCAGGGGTCGGCGGATATTCAACATGGGAAGCAGATTCATGGCACCTTTGCAGAAGCCCAACCAGCAGCAAATCCAATCAGCTTGCAAAAGTAGCCACCCTTTGCTGACGAGCTTGATTGCAAGGTTCCACTCCTGGATATACCTGTAGTGAAAGATCCAAAGCAGATGACCAGCCAGGCCATTTTCCTGTCATAGGCATTTCAAAGTCAGACTTGGGGATGAAAAGGGGGTTCAGATTTGCCAAGATACTGAGTTACATGGAGTCGTGTTTTAATGTGCAACACACCACAAGAAGAGGAACGTTTTGATGAGATAGTGGGCCCGGGAGCACCTGCTGCCAGCACTCAAAGCTTGAGAGCTGTTGTTGCTGACAGGAAAAGAAAGAGGAAGTCAGGGACATAGTTGGACTCTTCATGCTAGCTTTATCTACTCTACACTGCATTACTCTCCCTGATTTATGTGGCCTGACACACCAGTGAACCGCTGAGGAAATTCGACAGCAGCGTGTCAAGGATCAGCAGGCTGCCTGTGTGAATGATGTGAAAATATGTGAAAGAGATGCTGCCAGTATGTCATAGGAACATCATTTTGGAACCACATTTTGGACAGAGCGCTTAGTCAGCTTAGTCGCACTGAGGCTGCTTGCTTGAATCTGCTTGAAGTAGAATATTCTTGCTGTTATGATAAGTGATATAAGTGTGAGTCGATTTTCACAACATCACCAGGAATTTCTTTGAGTTGGTTGCTTTACCCTCTGGTAAACTAACATAGCTATTGAAAATTGCCATTTATAGTGAGTTTCCCCATAAAAAATGCTGATTTTCCATAGCTATGTTAGTTTACCAAAGGGTATGTTGCTTTTAATGCATTGATGCAGAGCTGTGAAGGTCATGGTAAAGGGCCTGCGCTTAGCCTTCGAAGAGGGAGAAGAAGCAGGCTGCGATCGGGATGTCATTGACAACTGCTGCGGGCTCAGCTTGTTCAGTTGAAGTTGTACTGTTGAAATATGTTGAAATATGTTGAAATATGTTGAAATCCCTTTGTGGATTCAATCTCCAAGTTGGTCTCAGGTCGACGTGTCTATTCCGAACTGCGAATCTTCACAGCGGTTGGGAACCGAATCCCGCCGATTGCCAACCCTTTAAGGAGAAAAATGAGAAAACTATGAGAAAAGCGGAAAACCGGAGCAGCACAGTTCACTCAGTTCACTCCTCCGAGGTCAAAGCAACTCTTCACCGTTTGGCAGTGGAGCAGGCCGTGAGCCACGATTTGTGACGATAGCGCAGCACAGTTGAAGCTGAATGAGGCCGCTCAGCGATTGGCAGAGGAGACTGCTCGGAAAGCAGCCGAGCGTGCAGCTGCAAAGGCCCAAAGGGTTCTGAAACATCTGAAACGACGGTTGTCTCATGATGCAAATTATGGTGACCAGTACAATATAGTACAATGATCAGGATTTTTATGGATTTTTCTTTTGGAAAGCCACAACTATCACAACTTGAGTAGTCTGGCAGCCAGCTAACTTTGGTGATAGGAAGCTGCTCGTGAAGCTCGGAGACAGGCAGCTCTGGAGAGAGGGGAGGACAGGATGGAACGAATTTGTTTGCGATCGGCGATCGAGCATCGATTGAGCATGTTTTCATGCCATTTGAAACTTGTAACTGTAACTTATACAGTAATTTATTTATAAACCTGGCAAGGAGATGTAAGCATGTGCTGAATTGCATCAGGTGAAGTTGGATGAATTTAGGTTTCAACTGCTCCGAGTGTTACAAGGGAACGATGTGAAGTGGAAAATCCCAGTTTAGCCAGTGCAACTCGTACCTAGTACCACTGCAGAACCCTGTCTCCTAGTCTTTTCGACTGGCGTTTCTGTCAAAGTGGCTCTGTTGATGCTATCCTCCTTAAATTTTTCTCCTTGTTGCCAGGTTACCCAACACTTCCCTTTTGCTAATCGTTTTCTGTCCAAAAAGGCCAGCAGAGATGTGCAATACACAATTCTCAACGACCAGCTGATATTTGCTGCTATTATCCTGCCAAGTTCAAAAGCTGTGCTGTGCAAGGAACAGCTGGCAGTTTATGTTTGGACATAATGAGAGTTTCGGATTTCTCTCTCTGAGCATGTGTCCGCTATATTCGGCTATAGACTCTATAGACCGTATTTTTGTTTGTCAGCCCCACTCCAATGAACATTTTGTTATACGCAGCGAGGATTTTGAAGAGTCAGACGAGTCTGATGACGATGCACAGAACAAATTCTATGATGAAGAGGCGGGATGCCTGGGAAACATCCCACAGTGAAGCACCATTTTGATCCAAATTGTTGCATTTTGATGCATTTTGAACATTTTCTTACTTGTGACATCACTTGACGACGCGTTCAGAGCCCAGAGCTTGGATGGAGGAAGAGATCGAGCAGGAGGACGAAGACCCAAAGGACATTGAGGATGGCTCTGCAACTTAAGCTGACAAGAAAAGTCAGATATGGCTATGGATCAATACCTATACATACCATTTTTCGGGGGATGAACAGCCATAAATACCAGCTATTTTGATGTTCGCCAGGGGTTTTCCAGGTTTTGACCCACTGCCATATGTTATCATCATAGGAGACATAGACAAGTGGCACGACTGCGAAGTCTTGTGAATTGCAATGGTGTTACGATAACAATAGGTAGTGCGCAGTTGAACAGTTGCAGCTAAT